TATCACATCCACTATCTGTTAGAATACTGGCTTATACGATGGAACCATGTTCTCTCTACCTGTACATTTCTTCTGCCTAGAAAATAAACCGGTAAGAGCATTTACTGTGAAGCCTAGCTTTCCATCTGCAATAGCTCTCAAACAATTGTAAGCACTTTGAAATCATTCTGGAAGAAAGGCACTGTATAAAAGTTATTGCCGTCTTTATTCTTATCAAGGATATTTGCCATTTTAATGTCTTCATATTATACTTTTTAAAAATATGGAAACCATTTTGTGTGTTAATTTAATACAGTAATTGAAATACAAATTCTGATTAAAGGGAACACGCAAGATGAATTATTTATAGCTTGCAGCAAATATCAAAGTACCAAACATCTTTCAAAAAACTTAAAATGTGGAATAGGCAATGTTTTTTAGCTGAATATTCTCACAGTATGGAAATGTTTGACAATATGGAACTTGGTTTCTATTTTAAAAAGAAAAAGATTTGTTATTAGTGCTGAAAAAAGATAAAGCACTTAACACAAGAATGAATATTTGACAATAAAACCAATTCCAAAGAATAATATTTTCCAGAATATAGATGTTGATGTGAACTTGAGAGCAACATATGCAAGTCTCTCAGTTAACTATTGACGGAAATCAATCTTTATGAAACAATGTTCCAAACTAGCTTGGCACTGTTTTTCCAGATATGCCCCAAACCAAACATTTACCTGGATGCCCTGAACATTGGAAAGAAAGTCCAGCTGTTCAGAGGGTCTAGTGAGTGGTCCATGGGGTACGTGGCTTGATGAGTTGTTATTCTTTAATATGGTCTCAGCAGTAGGAGAAGTACCACCATATAATAGCTCTCTAGCAATCATGGCCGTTACTGTAGCCTTGGCAGGGTTGGGGGCTGCCCTACTGAACTCTTTGGTGTGATGTCCTTGATTGGCTCCTACAGCTTGTGCAACTTCAGGGACCATGGGAAGAATTCCAGCTGGAAGCTGCTGATGGCTGAGATAAGGCATCCTAAACTCATCATCTTTATTACCTGAAAAGACAGAAGTACAAGTCAAATAGATACTAGCCATTTACAAACGGACACATGTCAATATACATGTAGTCATTTATAAGCCTCTAACTACAAGTCTGTAGATGTTAAAATAAAAATTAAACATACTACTGGAATTGAGCCCTTTCAGCGGTTCAGAAGTTCAGCTATACTTCAGGCAGTGTTTTCAGTGCTCAGTTGTTTTCAATCAATTATTCAATACAACATCCACTTTTGCTAGAAGACCCCTTTATCTCCAAGTACCCCAACCCACTTCTCTAGGTGAATGCTAGGATCTCTCACTGCCGTACTCGCACTCCAACTGGACTTGTGGGCACTACAATCTGGCCTTATATTTTAGTCGTAATAGTTATGAGCACCACTCAATTGTCAGGACATCTAGCAAGTACTGTAGGCATAGTAAATAGGGCTGCGCAAAGCTTTGTTGGTTGATTCGATTCAGAGGAGATTCAGCCCAATTTGGAGATTTGCTCCGATTCAGGGACCGAACCTCCAAATTCTCAAAGCATATGAATTGATTTGGAAAAGATTCGGCCGGTTCACAGATTCAGCCATAAACTAAGCAAGCAGCTGACACAGCTGTCTCCAGGTGGTAAGTCTGTTAGGGTTGGGGGAGGGAGGAATTGGGGCTGCTCAGCCAGGG